CCTCAATGCCATCACTATAAAGAACAGAGAGCCCCTACCGCGCATCGATGATCTGCTAAATAGAGTGCAAGGGTGTCGGTACTTCAGTAAGATAGATCTGAAGTCCGGGTACCATCAAATTGCAATCCGGCCCGAGGATCAACACAAAACCGCCTTTCAGACCAGGTACGGTCTGTACGAGTTTGTGGTGATGCCTTTTGGCCTTTGCAATGCTCTTGGCACCTTTCAGCACGCTATGAATCGGATTTTCCATGACTACTTGGATAAGTTTGTCATCGTGTACCTCGATGACATACTGACTTTTAGTAAGACTGTCGAGGAGCACGTTGCACACTTGGACAAAGTCCTCAGTTTCCTGCGACAGCACAAGTTCAAGATCAACGGTGAGAAGTGYGGATTTGGCCGCACCCGTGTCTTGTACTTGGGTCATGAGATCTCCGCGGAAGGGTTGAAGCCCGATGACGCGAAGGTGGCCAACATTCGTGACTGGCCACGTCCTCAATCTGTGACTAAGATGAGATCTTTCTTAGGAATGACAGGCTACTATAGGACTTTCGTTAAGAACTATAGTATAGTGGTCGCTCCTTTGACTGATCTGACTCGCCTTGACACCCCATGGGAGTGGACAGATGAGTGCGAGGCTGCTTTCAGACATCTGAAGCATGCGTTGACGCACTACGAGGTCTTGCAACTTCCTGATCCTGATAAGCCGTTTATATTCACCACGGATGCCAACCAATATGGCATTGGCGCCGTGCTCGCGCAGCAGGAGGGGCCAAAGTTGAGGCCTGTAGAGGACATGTCCAAGAAAATGTCGTGACAGAAGTTGGCTAAGTCCACCTATGAGAAGGAACTCTATGCGGTTTACAAGGCTCTAACCCATTGGAGGCACTATCTCCTTAGGAGGTTCTTCATCCTCAGGACTGATTATCAGACCCTCAGATGGATGAGAACTCGGTCGGTGCTCTCTGACGCTCTCAAGCGTTGGATCGAAGTCATTGAGCAATATGACTTTGACCCTCAGTACCTGAAAGGGGAGTACAACAAGGTTGCTGATGCCTTGTCACGTAGACCTGATTTCTCAGGTGCGATGATTACTGAGTTCGATCTGACGGACAATGTTACTCAGTCCTTGGTGGAAGCCTATCGCGAGGACCAATTCATGTCTGAGATCATACGCAGACTCCAGGCGAATGACAAGAAGACCTCTGCCGAGTTTGAATTGGTCAATGGCTTGCTGTTCCTTGAGAAGGCAGGGAATAAATGATTGTGCGTCCCTAATAGCAAGTCTTTGCGTAGTTTATTTTTAGGTGAGTGTCATGATGCCACCGGCCATTTTGGGTACAAAAAGACCACAACTAATCCGCTGCAGCGGTTTTGGTGGCCCACGATGATGCGAGATGCCCAGTTGTACGTGGAGACTTGTCAAGTCTGTCAGAGGGACAAGCCACGTACGCAGGCTCCTCTTGGGCTTTTGAAGCCCCTTCCAATTCCGGAACGGCCTGGTGAGAGTCTGTCCATGGATACCCTGGTCACCAGCAAGAGTGGGATGCGACCCATCTTCGTCATCATGGATAAATTTAGTAAGTACGCTAGGTTAGTAGCAATGCCGGAAACAGCAAGAACGAAGTATGTGATCCGAATGTTCAAAGAGAACTGGGTTAGAGACTTTGGTTTACCGAAGTCTATTATTAGTGACAGGGATGTCCGATTTACCAGCGAACTGTGGAAGGCCGCTGCCGCAGAGCAGGGAACCTAGTTGCAAATGACTTCTGGGAACCACCCAGAGGCCAACGGCCAGGCCGAGCAATTGAATCGCGCTGTACAACACCTGTTGAGGCATTACATCACGCCCAACCAGGTGGACTGGGATGAGAAGCTTGCTCTCATCGCCAGCTTGTACAATAATGCTGTACACAGCGCCACTGGGGTGAGCCCAAACAGTTTACTATTGACTTTCAAGCCTAGACTACCCCTAGACTTTCTTCTTCCTGAGAATCAATCAGCTGCTGCACTGGGCACTTTCGAGTTTGCCTACAGATATGAACAGAAGATGCAGCAGGCGGTAGAGCAAATGCAGAAGGCAAAGGCAGCAATGATAGAGTCTGCGAACAAACACCACCGTGAGTCTTCATTTCAGGTTGGGGATAGAGTCTGGGTTAAGTCCTCAGAACTGGGACAGGAGCACAGAATCTCCCGCAAGCTCATGCCACAGTACTTTGGACAATGGGAAGTCTTAGACATCGTTGGGACTGATCCGGACGGACCTTCTTACGTAATCCGGATCCCTGGTCATCTCCGCACTTACCCTGTCTTTCACGCCTCCAAGCTTGCACCTTTCAAGGAAACAGATCAGTTTCCATCTCGTCATTCAATGCTGCCCCCAACCATGGATGGAGAGGTCGACATCGACGATATTGTTGATCACCGGGAGCTGCCAGTTACAAGAACAGCAGGCAGAGGACGTCCTCCGAAACCGAAGCTGCAGTACCGCGTTCGGTTCCGACATCATACTGATCCGAAGGAGGACCGCTGGTTTACCAGGGATGAACTCATGCAGACCGCTCCGCAAGTGGTAGCCCACTATGAGAAATCTCTGCAGAAAGGAAAGCGCCCGATGGTCGAAGACTGAGCTTCTCAGAGGACTGTTGAAGCTAAGGAGGAGGGAATGCGAGGCTACTGCCTCTATGAGCCCCATTCAGCCCCTTTTTGGGAGCCTGTCAGCCGCCCTAAGTGAAGGCAGGCTCGAAGAGGCCCCTCAGGGCCTTATTTCGGCCTCTGCGCAACTCAAGGAAATGCAGGCAGTTGCGCAGTGCCAGTTGGTTGCGAGAACCCAGGCACTGGGCCGCCTGTGTGAATGTATGGAAAGCAGGCCCTGGGCTGGATACGGGTACTGGGCCGAACACAAGCCAAAGGCAGTTGGGCGCATGCAAGCAACTCAGGCCCAAGGCCTGTTCTCGAACGTGCTGGGCCTCAGGCTGCCGGGGCCTACTGGAAGCTTCCTGGGACTGGGCGCAGGCAGGCCACTTCGATATAGCAAAGGGCCTACCTCCTCATTCGACATTCGGGTGCTGGCTGCATGCTGTGCAAACGCTGCTGCGCTATTTGCTGGCTGGCGCCTACGCTCTCACGGGCGAGGAGGGAAGGAGCACACAGCCATAGCCGAGCTGCGCTGCTGTAAGCTGGGTGAGACGCAGGGTGGTCCTTGGGTGCTAGTGGCATCTGTGTGTTGGGGAACGAGGTTGTGAGTGCGGCGAG